CAGCATTATAGGCACCATATTAAATTGAATGCGCGCTTTCATCTGGTTTGGTCTGCCGGCGTCCGTAGCGTCGTGAAGGCGCAGGCGCGCGCTTTTAGGAAATCCTATGCACTACTGTTTATGCTCTAAAAACATTCTAAATGACTTTGTTTCGAGTAAATTCTGGATGCTACCCACTCAGGACACTTGGAATACATTGGAGTTGGGTAGAGAAAGTGTAAAAGATCTCAATTTAAAGTGTTGTATAGATGTGTTCCATAGTTCTGCATCTGTCTTTGCTTTTTTTTTATTCTTTTTTTAATTTTTTTACAGTGATTTGAAAACTAAATAAAGTTAAAACAGGTAAAACCTGCCTAGATTTACTAACCTGCAGCATTTAAACAGGGACAGATATCATGCATTCTGGGTCTACTGCTATGAAAGTTTCCACTATCTGCAAATGCAGCAACTAAAATCTTTGCCGAGAACATCATGGCATAAAACTAAGATTGTTTGGATTTAAAAAACATTTCCACATAAGTAAAGAGCCAGAATTGCTAGTTGTTTTCTAGCAGCCCATTTGTTGTAATTTCTGTTTTGATACAAAAAACAAACAAAAAAAAACCCCACAGAGAATTACAATGCATTGCAGTCCTGTTGTTGTCAGCTGTTTACCTGTTTAAAATTGTGAGAGTGTATGAAACAAAGAATTGTCCCACAAGAATATTTTTTTATTTTTGCCTCCCCCAAGTTATTTTCTATTGTCAAATCAATTAATAGCTGCTTAGCTGCTGTTTTGCTCTTCATTGTAGAAGAAGCTGATACTGGGAAAAAAAAAAAAACACTTCAGGCTGAAAAATGGATTCATTGCATATTGTAAAAAAACCAAAGCCCGGGTGTAGATCACGCTATGAGAAATTTAACAATTACCTTTAAAATCGATTTAATATGGGTGAATGTTGGAGACCAGTAATATTTTTATAATAGTAACATATTACATTGATAGTACAACATAAATTTTATAATGGAAAATTGAAATATAAAATAAAAACAGTATAATTTTTTTTTATGGTTTAGCCTAGAATTATCAATGATGCAATTATTTTTTTTTATAAAGTTTGTATGGCGGCTAAAGCAAACTTGTGAGTTTTTAAAATATATTTTGGCCTTGCTGCCTTTATTTAACAGCTAAAGAGAGAGAGAGGGGAAGGACGAGGGACCCATTCAGGATTTTTTTTTATTTTTTTTACTTTAGTGAGTTGTAGGTATTTTGTAATTCAAAGTGCAATTAAATTTGTATCAAAAAGTGTACACAAGATGAAAAAAAAACAAGGCATGGGTAATAACTTATATGAACTTAATTTTGCTGATGTAGTTTTACTCCCTGGTTTAGTACTGCACACTTAAAATAAACAATTTTTACTTCAGATTACTTTGATGGTTTATGAACTCAAAACATGAAGTAAAAATGTAATTTGTCAAATGAGATTGACTCCATCCATCCATCCATCCATCCATCCATCCATCCATCCATCCATCCATCCATCCATCCATCCATCCATCCATCCATCCATCCATCTCAGATCATGTCTGAACAATGTGTACAATGTGTGATCTTTCCATCTGAATGCCAGCTTTGTCCATCTGTTTTTGATAGAAATCACAATAAGAACCTTGCTGATGCCAATAGAATAAAAATATCTGAAGAGGGAAAGATTAAACTCGGATATTCCTCCTGGCTTTGATCACACCGTGGATCGGAAACAGCAGTTTTTAGGAAGCAAGCACACAGCTTCCTTCAGTGATGCAGGGAGCAGATGGCTTATAAAATCAAGCAGGCACCCCATATGTCTTCTAATACTGAGGAGGTCCCCAAAATATTTTCCACTATATTAATAAAAGAAGATTAGTTCAGATGCTAATGATCTCTCTCACCATTTCAAAGTAGCAATAGCTACAGGAAGTAGGGGAGGAAGCAGCATGACTAGTGCATCTAATGTCAGACAAATACAAAGAAAGTTTATCAGGAGAGAAAATCTGGAAACACTGCATAATTAGACATTGATAAAGTCATTTTAATAAACAGCCTTTATCTGCAGGCTGCTGGAAAAAAGCTGTTTCTCTGAAATGATTCAGCACTGGAAAAAAAAGTATTTCTCTTAGCATCCTGATGCAAAATCTGCACAAACACTGTTATCTGTGTTTTTGTTTATAAGGTAATGAAAGCTACAAAATAATAAAGCAAATCCTGAGGCAGAGTTAGGCTCTACCTGGTCCAGTCATTAGAAAGTCACACATGTACAGTATGATGTAAAGAACTAATTTGTTTAGTTCTTGTGAACTAAACAAATGCATGAGTTACTTTACCTAACTGGAGATAATCGACAATGGATCAGTGATGCTATCTGGAGCAAAAAAAAAAATCTACAACATTAAAGCTTCTCAACCTTCACATTCCAACATTGCTTAATGAAATCTAAAAGGAATGTCTTTTGCTCGACAGAATTTCTGTTTCACTCTTGGACACTTTGGGAAGGCATTCAGTGACTGCTCAAAACTAAACACCAGATTCAATGAGGTTTAACGAGGTCCAAAATGGGATTTATACTTTTAAAGCATGAGTGAAATATATATTGAAGTACGGGCGGGATTTTCTCAACAGCTTATGGAATTTCATTGGTAAAAAGGTTTTACTGTAGGCACTTCAGCTTTAG